GTAGGCTAGAATCTGTGATTGCGAAGTACAGTAAATATCCACACCTGTGCGGTGACTGACTGCCACACATACTCTTCAGAGCATTAGATTCATCCGCGCCCACTCACAACCCACGCAAGCTAGATAATTCCGCACACAGCTGCAATTCCAGGTTTTCAAACCGAGATGGCAACTAAGAGGCAAAACTTACGGACTGCAGCTTTAAGCTCAGTGCATGACTTGACACTTATAATTTGAAAAATTTTAGGAGCACATAAAGAACTTTAGGGACATAGTGAAAATCTTTTTTTTTTTTTTTTTACAGTAATAAATGGAAACTAGGAGACATTTAAGTTTCTGGATATTTATATATCAAACTTTATTTATTTAATCATTATGGAACTATTTATATTTTAAATGTTGAATTAAGTGCCAGATGTGGTTTATTGTGTAAACAGAAAAAAATGTTATGCATAATGCAGGACTTTTAATTACAGACAAGCCCGAAATACACAGACTCTTATTTTGAAATGTCTTTGCTACATTCAGCTGCTAGTTCCAACGGATGCGGGGGAAAAATATACATTCTTACAGCCATCTAAAACATATTTCAAAATAAACACCACAAAGTAAACAGACATAATTCATTAACAGTAGAACATAAGCAGTCGCCTGGCATAAATGCACGTTATTCATTAATTGCCAACTGATGTGAATCTGCGACTATAACATGCAACAGTGCTGCATTTTTACTTTGAAATGTACAGCGTTCACATTTATTTCATTAAATCATCGCCTTTTAAAGTTTAATAATCATACGTCTATTATGGTTAGCTAAAATTAATACAAATAAAAAAAACATGTGCGTTACTTGAACTAAAATAAATGTTAACTAAAATAAAATATAAAAATGTAAACTTAATTTATTTCAGCTACTTGCAAAGGCAACAACTATACAGGCTTATAAAAAATTTTAAAAAATCACAAAAATGCACAATACTTAAACTAAAATTAAAATGAAAACAGAAAATATGAAAATTAACCTAATTTAAAATATATTTAAATTTTTTTTTAAATAACACTGCATTATGCCATATCGCAATTCCAGATTTCCAGTTCCAAATTTAGGACTTCTTAAAATGATAAATAAGACTTCTGTTATGCCATTACCTTAAAAGTGAAAAAAAAAAAAAAAGACTTTAAGGACTCGTGGGAACCTACTTTTTATTCACACATGTATCCTAAATACATTTTACAGTTTGCATGCATCTATTTTTAGTTGCAAATGTGAGTGAAATGCTCGAACCGTTGATCCCCGCTTAGTCTTGTTTAGGGGTGCCATAAATAAAACATGTTTGTTATCAACCTGCTTGGAAAGTGCTACCCTCCAAGTAATGATCCTTCCCAGAGGCATTTATATTCCTTTCCCATCTACCTCTGCTGCTAATGCCAGTCTTGACCTTTCCCAGCAAAGGCAGGGATTCCCCTGGGTTTCTTTCTCATCTCCTCATTCAGTACGTCTCCGAGGTTTGCTGACCGAATAGCGCAGGAATTTTCTCCCTGGTATGTGGTACAATATGAAGATTTATACTTTGGTCAGATTGAGGAGAGGGTGACCATTAAAATGGAGAGGAGACCAGAAAAAAAGCAAGATTCCCTCTTGGGCAGCGTGGTGCCTCACACAGACAGTCTTGGTGGGTTGATGTGAGACCTGATTGGCATAGCAATGAGTCTTTTCCCCCTGGAGGAGGGTCAGGCTGTAGCGAGGAAGAGATACAAGACTTGTGTGGGGTTTAAATGAGTCGGCTAACTCCATACGGCTCTGGCCATTACAGGAGGCCGTCTGAAAGCTATCGCTGTCAGGCCAAGCCAACAATTTCCCATCTCCGTCTCTCCTACGGTTCTGCCGATCCAGGTTTTGAGTAGTTTGACATCTGAGTAGTCAGTGACATCTGGTATTATCATCCAGATGTACAGTCACAAGTGGACTGTGCTTAATATAGGTGTAAATTGGTTTGGAAAAACACATGGCTTGATTTCTCGTAAAATACACACTGCACGGTCTTCATGACAAACTGCCAGAATAAAGGCTTGGCTTTATTTAAATAAATTATTATTATTGTATGCTAAAATGTACTTCCTAAAGTAGTAATAGACATTATAATAATAATTTTAAGGAAGTTTTTTTTTTTATCAGTGTTTTTGTTTGTACAGTATACTATAGTATACTGTATAGTTTTGTTGTGAAGCACTAAATTGTTTTCTTTTGATTACATTTTAAAAGATTTATTAAGTTGTTAAAGTTTATGAATTCATTTCATTAGACACAATTTTGATGATAAATTTGTATTAACTCATAGAACACACAATCCAGAAAAAATTAGTTGGTCAGAAAACACGACTCAAACTATGCTCAAATACATACTGCAAATCAAAGGATTTCATGACAAACTGCCAAAATCAAAGTTTGGTTTAACTTGAAGAAATTATGACGGTAATATATTATAGTTCTGTTGTGCAGCACCTTATTTGACAATCAGTGCCAGAGGCCTGATAAAGTAGAAATAGATAAAGAAGAGCTCATATGTCATAGTGGTTTATATGTTTGTTTGTTCTTTTAGCTCTGTGGCATTAACCAATGACAAAAATGCAGTGTTTTTTTTTTTTTTTTTTGTAAATTGTTAAAAATGCTTTATTAATTAGTTTCATAAATACCACTTTTTTGGTGATACATTTGTGTTAAATCATAAAAACAACAGAATCCAGAAAAAATAAGTTAGTCATAGTTAGTCAAAAAAACATTACTCAATTTGTCATCAAATACACTGCAACTCCAAAGTCTTCATGTCAAACTGCCAAAATAAAAGTTTGGTTTAACTTGAAGAAATTATGACAGCAATATATTACTATTATAGTTCTGTTGTGCAGCACCTTATTTGACAAAAAATGCAGTGTTTTGTTGTAAATTGTTTTATAAATTAATTTCATTAAATGCAATTTTTGATAAATTTGTTTTAAATCATGCAA